GCGGATGTCCTTCACCGTTTCATATCGGCAACCAAGCAAACAAGCATATACACAGGCGCACGGGCGTGTTTGTTGCGTTCAGCGTTGTTCGCCTGTTGGCTTGGGCTAGTTGCATGCGAAAGCGTTATATAAAATGAAAATACATGCGCTTGTGTATGTGGCGCATATTGTTTGGTATTTTTCGTATATCTCCGCTCGTGCAATTTGAACTTTTTTCCTTCCTGTGCAGTTTTTTTTACGCGTGCTCACACAAATTTGAATGCCATCCGCTGACACACATGCATGTCATTTACAGTTTTTAAGATTTTTAAGCTTAAGCTATTAAATTCTAAGAAAGTAGTTGAAAGTAAAACCAATGTGCAGACTTTCACAGTCTTACATAGATTTTTATGCTTTAGGTTTCGTTGAACGAATTTAGATAAAATTTATCAGTGCTACTTTCCACTGAAATTTGGTGCTTTAGGCTGCAAGTGTGATTTGGCTAAAATTTGGATTTTTGTATTGCTTTTGAAACGAATTGGTAAAGTGTAGTGATTATTTGGAGGATTTGTGTTTTTTGCACTCCTGTTCATTATGCTAGCTATAGTTTTATTTTTTCTACAATTTCTCAATAAATTTGTTTCTAAAAATCCTATTCTAAATCCTAGTGTTGATAAAAGTCTTTCCAAAGCTACTTCTTGTATAAATTAGATMTTCAAGGTGCAATCTCTTGCATATACTATACTATTTTCCAAGACGTAGTAGTTAGAGTGTCGCTTGTAACGAAGTGATCTCGAGGCCTTAGAATCCATCCTCAGGTGGACAGGGATCACATCACCTCCATTGCGCCAAGCAAGCTCCTGGAATTATTCATATGACCTTTGTGACGATATGTGATATAGGAGAGGACACAATAGACCATGAGTCGAAGTGGAAAACCTCAAGTATTTTCCATTTATTTGTCTGTCAAACGAAGTGATTGTGTTCTCGTTGTTCGCCAACGATACTGAAAAGCAAGATACTAGCTTTTAAAATWGTGAAATTAAGAATAACAGCCAAATCGTTGAATGGCACAGTAAGCCTTCACGGCAGTTGAAATAGCAACTTGATGTTCTGGTSATTCAAAAATCTTCTAGTGTTGATAAAAACTATTTAAAACACGTGGATTTCGGTAAAGAGTTCTAGTGATATGCCTCAAATATAAAATATACAAAGAGAGTTCCATAGTAAACAGGACTTAAAAAAAAAAAACAGATCAATGGTTTTTTCGGCAAAATCAATTTATTTTATTCACAATAGTCTCCTCTGCTTCAATACAGCTTTTTGCATCGTCCAAAAGCATGTCAAGCGACTTGGCCGGTATGGACACCAGTTTGGCGTTGCAACCTTTTGAATGGCCTCTACGTCTGCATAACGCTTTCCTTTCCTTTGCCTTGGCAAATGCATTTTTCCGAAAAGGAAGAAGTCGCACGGTGCCACATCAGGTGAATTCGGGCAGTGGTTAATTGTTAAAATCTGATTTTTGGTCAAATAATCGTCCTTCGAATGATGGATTCTGAGCAATTTTTGGTCGTTAGTCAAATTGTGCGGAACAATCYGTGTACACATCTTTCGTAAGCCCAAATGTTCGGTCAAATTTTCGGTGATCACGGATTTTGATTGGCCGTGATTTATGTTCTCACGACCTCTTTGAAAACGTTGAAACCTCCCATGCACGCTGCTACGGGATAGGCAATCATCGCCGTAAACATGTTTCATCAATTGAAACGTTTCGGTAAAAGTTTTACCAATTTAACAAAAAAAAAAAAAAATAATAATAATGTTGACTCTTTGTTCGAAGCTCATTTTCGCACCGATAACACAAACATACTGACACTTAAAATGCAAAGACTTCACTTTCAATCAATGAGATGTCATAAAACTCTTTAGTTTAGTTTAGTTATTGACAATCAATAGAGATAGCAGATTCTAACGCACCAGTCGACGTATAGAYGGCGGCACCAGTGGTCGCTAGATTCCTGTTTACCTTAGAACGCTCCTTGTAGTTTTTATAAATATGCATTATATTTAACTGTGTGCATTTAAGCTAACTTTAGTCATARTATGGTGGGAAAAATAATAGTTTCTTGTACTTCCAGAAAACTTGGATCTCATAGATGTAAATTTGGTTGGCTAAAATTTAGGCTAGGTTTATTATATTGTTATCCTAAAGGTAGGCTAAGTTAGTAGTTTCACAGAAGTAAATTTGGTTAGCCTAAAGGTAGGCTGATCTAAAATGTTCACCTTCTAATACACTATTGGACTTCATACCGGTTTTGGTTAGCTTTAATTGACTTTCATAACTGTTTTAACGGCGTTTAATTTAAAATATTAAATAGTTCGTCTTTGTTGTTGTTGTTTATTGAACACGTCGCTACTGCACACAACTACACTTGCCTATTAAATGAGAATTTCTCTATTCAACTACAGTTTGGTGTTTTGAACAATTCGAAGCTTTTAAATATGCGACCAGCGAAGTGTAAGACACACACATAATAAATAATAAACGAAATAGCGTGTACTAGTGCGAATATGGCATTGAATACAGTTAATCAAAATTTTACGAAATGTAGTTAGTGCAAAATAGTGAAGSGAAAGTGGTTGGCCAAAATGCAAAGTGATTGAAAATACTCATGCATTACGAAAAAGCAATGAAATTTATGCAAATATGTGCGAGAGCATAAATATATAGTAAATATATCGGAATATAATGGCAAGGTGCTTCACATAGAATACAGCAATGGCCACGAGAACTGCGTGTGACTGCAGTTTGAATTAGCAACGATTTAACGGTATATTTTAATGAAAAACAAAACAAATATATTTATTTAGTAAGCGTTAAGTGTGTTATAAATAATAAACTCAATAGCCAAAKCGTTGTTTTGTGTTTTTGAATAATTCATTTAGCTATAAATGGCAATTAAAAACTAACGGTAATCAAAACTAGCGCGAAAGAAATAATTCAATAAAATAGCAAAAGCGTTCTTATTGGTGTCTATTAAGTGTTAAAATATTACAGTTAACTTATTAACATCTAATTATGCAAATAGGCAATAAATATGTAAATAAATATTTATTTAGAAATGCAAAAAACGTCGACAGCGCTGAACCATTATAATGGCAACAGCGCAAGTGAGCGAAAATAGCGGAAATAATTTACAAAAACGTTTAAATAAGTGTTAGAAAAAATATTATTATATAAGTAGTTAAATATAGCTGACGCGCAGGTGCAAAAAATAGCAAAAAAAA